CTCTATTGGATTGAGATCTGGTGACTGTGGAGGCCGTTTGAGTACAGTGAACTTGTCCTGTTTAAGAAACACGCTAGAGATGATTCACGCTTGACATGGCGCATTATCCTGCTGGAAGTAGCCATCAGAAGATGGGTGGTCTTAAAGGGATGGACAAGTGGTTATTTGAGTTACTGTTGCCTTTTTCACAGCTCTAACCAGTCTGGCCATTCTCTTCTGACCTCTGGGATCCACCAAGTATTTCAGAACTGCCGCTCACTGGACATTGTCTCTTTTTCAGACCATTCTCTGTAAACACTAGAAATGGTTGTGCGTGAAAATCCCAGTAGCTCAGCAGTTTCTGAAATACTCAGAACAGCCCAACTGGCACCAACGACCATGCCATGGTCAAAGCCACTTAAATCACCTTTCTTCCCCATTCTGGTGCTCTGTTTGAACTGCAGCAGATCATAATGACTACATGTACATGCCTAAATACATTAAGTTGCTGCCATGGGATTGGCTAATTAGAAATTTGAGTTAACAAGCAGTTGGACAGGTGTACCTAATAAAGTTAAGTTATAGTAAAACCATAGTTAATTTTTGTAAGGTCAAAATAGAAGGCAACTGTGGTGTTTTAATTGGTAGAGTTTAAATCTCATGATTGTTTTTTTTTCTTTGCAATTCAGAGAATAGTTCACAATTGCAATTTCTCTTAATTCTGAATGTAAATTTTGCAAATGTAATTTTTTTTTTAGACCAGGGGTGTCTTGCAGATTTTAGCTCCAACTTGCCTTAACACACCTGCAAGGATGTTTTAAAGCCTAGTAAGAGCTTGATTTGCAAGCCCAGGTGTGTTAGGGTGATTGGGGTTGGAACTAAGCTTTGCAGGACACCTGCCCTCCAGGACGGAGTTTGGGCACCTCTGGTTTAGACTTTTTACAATTCTGTATTGCAATTCTGACTTTTTTTCCTCAAAACTGCAACATTAACTCTTGCAGTTTATTTGCTTTTGTCTAATTCGAGTTTATAGCTCAAATTCTGCTAAGTACTAGAGTTGCACGGTTTACCGGTTTGATGCTAGTATCGCGATACTATGGCTTCAAAATACTGCCGGTGCCACTGCAGTTTGTAAACGGTAGTATCGTCATTATTTGTTTATCTACAATAGATAATGTTGCATTGGGGGAAGTCACTAAAATGCTCACACGCAAGTGCTACAATAGATTATTTTATTTGAATGGTCTGTGGAGCACTTTAAAGTTGCAAAACTGTGGAGAATTCACGCCTTTTATGGTAGCATACTGCACGTTTTCTAATGCTTCAGATCGAACGCACATGTGAATCAGTTCATTTCTGTTACTGTTAATATGATTTAGCAGCTACAACAACCACAACAATCTCTTTAAAAGAACGAATCACAAAGTGAAAATTTTAATTACTTTGGATAGTTACCTGATAAGACTGAAAAAAAAAATAGATGAAAAACCCAAAATAGCAACAGAAAACATTGAAACAATTTTTGACCAAATCATATAGCCTAATTTAGTTGGAAAAATACTCTTTTGTAACAAATTTCAGTTGTTATAATTTGTATCTTTAGTTTAATGTACTTTTGTTGGTCAGTTATCTACAAAATAAACAAAAAGAGTGAATACATTTTAGCTTAAGTGTGGTGCAAATAATCCTTTTTGGTCTGAAGGGAATTATGAATTACATTCAAGTAGGCTTATTATAACATACAATATAGTATTTCTGACATTTTTCTTTATAATTTGAGTTATGAATTGCAGTATGGCAATACTACTTGGTATTGTGATACTTCAGCCGGTATAGTATCCATGGCTCAACAATAAGGGCCAGCGTGTGAGATGCTCAGGACAGTAGACAGAATGGTTACTGGCCCGATCGGGCAACTGATGCCCTGTCACTAAAGTTTAATTTGCCTGTGACTATTTGTCAATTGCGTGCAAATACAGTCCGAATCAAGAAACAGTTTGTGTTTTTATGCCTTCAAATACTATCTTCTTGGTTCCTCTTATTTGATTGGATGTTGTTAGTACATACTTTTTTTTTTACGTAACAACCATTACAGCGAAGAGACAGCAACATGGGGGCAACATCAAGTGATAATGCTAAAGGAAAACATTTGTTTCTAATGTCTTCGAAGGAGAAATTTACGAGGGTACACCAAGACTAAAAAAATAAAGTGATGTTTTGTACAGTTTGACATCAGTTTGGCAGGTCAGCCATCTTTTGTTTTGCAATTAAATACCTGCACATTTTGCTACTTTTGTTTGCAAATCACTGTTTGAAATTTTCTCATTATACATTTATTAACATTTTTTAAATATTTAAATTCTAGATATACAAATATTTTGACACAATTTTTAATTTGTGGCTAAGAAATAGCTATTAATTTGTATTTATTTTTTGGTCGGGCCAGTGAAAACATTTACAGGGCAAGTAAAAATCTGAACCACTGGTCCGATCGAGCCAGTAGTAAAAATCTTTAGCGTTGAACCCTGGTATTGTAAGATTATTTAAGTTTTTATCGTGACAACCCTACTAAATACATATCAAAACATGTGGTAATTTTAATTTAAAAAATGTTAGAATAGCCTAGAAATGTTTATAACTCGCAACTATCAGATAAAACATTCAATAATATCTGGCAACATTTGACAATGGGATGTAGTGCTTAATAAAGTCAACGTTTTTTTTCCAGAATCAATAAAGCTTAAATGGAAATTTTCTAGTGTTGGTAATTGTAGTAGTAATGCTTGTATTTTAGTAAACACCAATTGATAAGCAGGAAAAAAAAACACACAAACAAAATATTTATATCAATTCAAGTTTATTTATCATTAACCCAGTATTAACCAGTGATTCTGTAGCAATGAGTGCTGTACATGCAGTTCCTCACTCAAAGTTACTTTAGTGTAGATAAAACACTGATCACGGCAATTAAAAATAAATAAAGCACTGCAAAATAATAAAAAATAAAAGTCCTTTGGCCTTGCAATGGCAACATTTCTCCAAAATAAAAAAGCTGCAAACGAGTAAACACCCTTGTGGATTGTACCTGACAGAAAATACTGAGAATGTACATCACCTTCAGGCCTTACAAGCGGTCTTCTCTCTACAGTTCATCCACAGCTAATACTTTAATACTTTTCTACATCTAAACGTGTTCCTCCGTAAAATGCCTGGAATATGTTCAATATTACACATCTCTCCTTTTCAAATTTCACTACAATCACTCGTGCTAACAATACGACATTGACACTTGAGAAAGAATGCACACATTTTGCATAAAACAATCTTGTGTGGTCGTTTGCAGAAATTACACAAGTGCCCTTCAGAGAAAAACAAAAACAAAATCTACAGACTCGGTGAGAATCTACTATCAGCACCATTGGTTGTCCACTTCAATTGTAAAACCCACATGTTTCTAGCTAGCTATCTTACTGACAAACCATATTGAGAACTCATTTTGTGTGACTATTTCAAGTAACAGGTACAATGGAGCCAGTGAACGTAAGACTTCATGTAGTGCCATCGTCGATTGTTCAGAAGCTGTGCTTATGACCTTACAAAGACAGGTATAATATAAATACATTAATGCCATGTGTAAATTAGAAATCATCAAAGGCATGTCTTCAGCTTTGCTTCAACGTTTTATCTGGCCACATCCAAAAGCACATTGCATGTGGAGAGATTACCATACATGATTCGATGAACTCATAATGTCAAAATATTAATGCTTAACACTGCTTAAATTCATTAGTTGTTTAGTACTATCAATAGTTTAGCTAGCATTGTCCATACTGTCAGTTCTAAAAGTTTTTTACATGAGGTCATGGGTTAAAAACATGTCTAGGTCACATTTAACACCAGAATAAAGACTTATATTTAGCATCTGTTACTTTCATACCTTTTCCACAATATATTAAAGGAATATTTCAGCCAAAAATGACAAATCTGTCATTATTTAATCATAAATATTTTGAAGTACGCAGGAATCCAGTAACCATTGACTTCCATTGTATTTCCTACTATGGAAGTCAATGGTTACCCGTTGTCAGCATTCTTCAAAATATCTTCTTTTGTGTACAACAGAAGAAAGAAACTCAAAGGTTTGGAACCACTTGAGGTTGAGTGAATAGTGCGTTCACTGTCATTACAGGCTGAAACATCCCTTTAATATGTAATACAGCAAGTTTTAGCTTAATTAAAAATTAGCAAATGAAGGAATAAAAATAAAGCAAGCCTGTAATGTAGAAATTAGATCGCGATCTCGATTCATCCCCCTAGACGATTTTAATCCAGTATTTCTGCGATTCTGCCATACATATTGTCAGTTCTAAAAGTTTTTTACATGAGGTCATGGGTTAAAAACATGTCTAGGTCACATTTAACACCAGAATTAAGACTTATATTTAGCATACGTTACTTTCATACATTTTCCACAATATATTAAAGGAATATTTCAGCCAAAAATGACCAATCTGTAATTATTTAATTAAACTTTACTCATTTCAAACTTTGAGTTTATATGTTGAAAACAAGAGAAGATATGTTAAAGTATGCAGGCAACCGGTAACCATTGACTTCCATTGTTTTTCCCTCTATGGAAGTCAATCTTCAAAATATATTTTATTGTGCTCAACAGAAGAAAGAAACTGGGGTGAATAAATAGTGAGTTTGTTGTCATTACAGGCTGAACTATCCCTTTAAAATGTAATACAGCAAGTTTTAGCTTAATTAAAAATCATTGCAATCGAACGAATCAAAATGAAGCAAACATGTAATGTAGAAATTCTTCAAAAATATATCAAATTACTGCAGGAGGATGTATATGTGTGTGCCAGATTCTCTTGAAAGCGTAGTGATATTAGCAGAACAGTATAGAAATTCTTTCTTTTTCTGAGTGGAAATATGACCTGGATGTGTTTCAAATCAGCATAATACGAGTATTGTAATCATCGTAACAAACAAGACGGGTTGAAAGTAGTGGAAAATCCCTTTTAAACATTTTGGTTTAAACAGACGGCTTGTCCTCACGTCAGGCAAAGAAAAAAAAAGCACAATTGAATACTTCAAGAGTAAACTGAAACCAAAAGAACACTGTATTCTTGGGTAACTCGACACGTGAAAGTCTCCTGAAGACAATGTGAGGTAGAGGACTGTACTGAGCTGGAACAGGCAGCAGTGAAAGAGCAGGTACCATGTCAGATGGCGTGGCAGTGACGCGGCGGTGATTTTAAATATGGAGCCGAGAACATCACACCTCTCCAAAATTGGTGTGGCCCGTCTCCTTGGCATGTTCCCTTGCCTCCTTCTGCCCTACCAGGCCAGTCTGGCACACCATACAGCGCAAAGCAAACCGGTTGACATCTGTAAACTGCCGTTTCCTCCGTGCTTCGTCCGCTAGTTCCAGCGCTTGAGCTAAAATAACATCATCTACGGTGGAGAACACGGTCTGCGCAGGGACGTCAGAACCAGGCAACACCTTCTGAAGCGGATCGTAATGAATTCCGTCATAAATAAGCAGCACTCGTTTGGTGTACCCAGCATCTTCGCCGAATCGATCCACGCGTACCGTTTGAGTGTCCACAACGCAGATTTCACATTGGTAGAACTTGGAGAGGATGGAAACTTCAATGGCGCCTCCCCACGTGTCATCTCGACGGATCCATGTGCAGTATTCTTCATTGGTTTTGCCCAAAACGGCTTCTGAATACGCGGTGGGGTCGCTGGCTACTATTTGTGCGATGAGACCACGCATTTCGGACGCGCAGGCCGGGTCGTACACACCGCCTTCCATTACGTAGTTCACACTAGTAAACAAACAGGAGTTGTCGGCGGGCACTACGCGGCGCTCGACGACTGGGGTCACTTCAAAGCTGGGCCCTTTGGTCACAGTGGGTTGCACTGGGGGTTTGGGTTTGTTCTTCTCCTCCTCTACAATCAAAGTGTCTCCTGGAGGAATAAACAAAAACTATGATGAGGAAAACGATCAAAAATAAATGTGAATGAACTAGGGCTGCTTGATTATGGGAAAAATCAAGATCACCATTATTTTGGTCATAACTGTAATCACGATTGTTTTAAACGATTATCAGTCGTATGTCGGCGCAGATCTGTTTATGTTTTCACTTTCACATGCCATTTCATCTTTAAGGCCGTACTCACACAAGGTACAGTTGCCTCGAACCGGGCCAAAGCACGCTTGTCCCCCCTCCCGTCTCCCCCGACGGCCCGCGCTCACACCACAAACGGGCTTCGGCACGCTTACGTCATCGCTGCTGGGCTGTTTAGTGAGAAGCGCTCTCTCACTCAGCAGCACAGTGGAGATTTCTCTAGTTATAAAGTTTCAGTCGTTCGATATGCAGTCAAATATTTCGCCTAACAGTCCTTAGGGATGCGGGGACACGCAGTCAGATATTTCGCCGAACAGATCCTCCACTTTTGGCGCTCATAAACAATCATAAAGCTCTCGTGCCGCAGGAATGAGGAGCTCTGCTGAAGGCGCGCAGCTGTCGTGACGTGAGGAGTTTGTGTCTTTAATAAACGACGGCAGTTTGCGTTCACTGAACAGTAGGGATGTAACGGTATCAGAATTTCACGGTACGGTAATACCTCGGTATGAATGTCACGGTACGGTATTTATTGAATCATTTACAGGAAAAAACAAAACTTATGAAAATACTCCAAAAAAGTGCCAAAAGTGTCAATGACATACAAATTAGCCATCTATCTGTAAGCTTTGAAACAGGAACTTCAATTTTAATAACAAAAAAATATGAAACCATGTAAAAAAATAAAGTTTCAATTTAGTATTGTTGAAAACTCATCACATTCAACATTTAATCACTCACTCACTTAGATAGAGATGGGTTTAAAGGAAAATTATCATATAATTATAATCTGGTAAAAGCTGGTATCTCTGGGCATTTACAATGTCCCCTGCTACAGAAAAAAAAACCCTCTCATTTGGGACTGAGGTTTCTGGGACAAGAGAGATATGACTTGGCCCAGGTTGACAACAGTGGGTAACATTGTGCATTGTCTTTCCCCCACTTGAGAGGACAAACCATGAGTAAGATAGAGATCTCATGTCTGCATCAATCTGAACAGTGTGCTGACAACACCGCTATTCAGTACGCGCGCGCGACAACACCGCTGATAAGAACTCGCGCGACAACACCGCTATTCAGTACGCGCACGACAACACAGCTGATAAGAACTCGCGCGACAACACCGCTATTCAGTACGCGCGCGGCGACAACACCCGCTTTAGAGTTTTCCAGCTCTTTTTCATCCCCGCTTCTAGCAGCACACTCCATTTCCTCATTACTGGATCTGTAGCGACAACAGACCGCAAGGGATGATGGTCAAGCCTGGGCTGATGGGAATTGTAGTTTCCGGTACCTCCCGTTCGCTTCATTCGCCTGAGCAAATTTTCTCAGAAGACCTATAGTTTTACCGAGTCATGCGACTTTGGTAATATCGAAAAAAATTAATATTGCGGTATGACGGTATTTACAATACCGTTACATCCCTACTGAACAGTAATGATTAATAAATCTATATGAAACAGTCCCTTAAAAGTCACGTCTCGCTTTCAGTTTCGGGCTTTGGCGCGTTTTGCACTCACACACAAGCATACCGTGCCAAAGCCCAAGTGAACTATGCCCAGGCACACCTCTTCCAACCGGGCCAGGGCCGGCCAAGTGAACCGTGCTTGAGCCCGATTCAGCGCACTCACACTTCTCAAACGATCCAGGAAACGGGCCTGGGCACGGTACGGATGGCATAGTGTGAGTAGGCCCTAAGTCTTTATGTTCAGTTATTTCTTCATAACAAACAGGGGGTTAATGCGATTAATCACTAAGCGCTGCATTTTAACACATTTTTGCATGTATTTGATCACCTTAATGGTGCAGTTGTTGTTGTGCTGGTTGAAAGTCTCTTCACATTCCGATAGTACTGATTAAAATAATAATAATAATAATAATGCATTTTATTTAAAGGCGCCTTTCATGACACTCAAGGTCACCGTAGAGGACACCTAAAACAATCAATTAAAATAAAAACAATAGAATACAATACAAACTTTAAAAATGCAATCGGGTCAAAGACAATAGGCTGTTCTAAACAGATGTGTTTTGAGTTTGGACTTAAATTGTGAAAGAGAGTCTAAATTATGGAGATCAGGAGGAAGTGACATTCAAAGCTGAGGAGCAGAGTGGCTGAAGGATCTGCTCCCCATAGTGACAAGGCGGATAGAGGGAACAGTGAGGTGAATGGAAGAAGAAGACCTGAGTGTTCGAGAAGGTGTGGCGTTATGAACATGATTAGCAAGGTATGGAGGAGCGAGATTGTGGATGGCTTTAAAGGTGAGAAGAAGTATTTTATAATTCATTCTGAAAGAGATGGGAAGCCAGTGAAGCTGTTGTAGAATGGGTGTGATGTGACAGACAGAGGGAGTTTTTGTGATAATGCGGGCTGCGGCGTTTTGTACCAGTTGTCATTTATGAAGAGTTTTTTTAGGGAGGACAAACAGAAGGGAATTACAGTAGTCTAAACGGGATGTGACTAAACTATGAACAAGTATGGCAGCTGACTGAGGTGTGAGGGTAGGACGTAAACGATTTATATTTCGAAGGTGGAAATAAGCGGACCGGGTGACATTATTAACATGTGCAGTGAATGAAAGGGTGCTGTCGAAGATGACCCCCAGACTCTTAATCTGAAGGGAGGGGGTAACGACAGAATCCTCGGTGGGAATGGAAAATCTATGTGGTTTATTTTAAGTGGATTGTGTAATTATTAGGGATGTAACGGTATTGTAAATACCGTCATACCGCAATATTAAATTTTTTCGATATTACCGAAGTCGCATGACTCGGTAAAACTATAGGTCTTCTGAGAAAATTTGCTCAGGCGAATGAAGCAAACGGGAGGTAGCTGAAACTTCATTTCCCATCAGCCCCGGCCTGGCCATAATCCTTTGCGGTCTGTTGTCGCTACAGATCCAGTAATGCGGAAATGGAGTGTGCTGCTAGTAGCGGAGATGAAAAAAGATGGAAATGATCGAACCTAAAGCGGGTGTTGTCGCCGCGCGCGTGCTGAATAGCGGTGCTGTCGCGCGCGTTCTGATCAGCTGTGTTGTGGCGCGCGTATTGAAAAAGCGCCGAGGGGGGGTTGAGCGCGCATACTCAAGAGAGGTGTTATCGCGCGCCTACTGAAGGGCTGGACTGGACGGAGGTTGTGTCGCGTCGCGGGGGCACTTTTGATCGTTTTGGAAGGGCATTTTCTATCCAAGACTAAAAAGGGCATGTGCACTGCACAGGTTGAGCCCTATGTGTGCACGTGCCTGCAAGTTGGGGAATACGACTAATAACAGTCATGGGGACTGCAGAAACACAGCACACTGTTCATATTGATGCAGACATTGACTTGTACCGCAAAGAGATCTCTATCTCACTCATGGTTTGTCTTCTCAAGTGGGGGAAAGACAATGCACAACGTTACCCCACTGCTGTCAACATGGACCAAGTCATATCTCTCTTGTCCCAGAAACCTCAGTCCCAAATGAGAGGGTTTTTTTCTGTTGCAGGGGACATTGTAAATGCCCAGAGATACCAGCTTTTACCAGATTATAATTATATGATAATTTTCCTTTAAACCCATCTCTATCTAAGTGAGTGATTAAATGTTGAATGTGATGAGTTTTCAACAATACTAAATTGAAACTTTATTTTTTTTACATGGTTTAATAATTTTTTGTTATTAAAATTGAAGTTCCTGTTTCAAAGCTTACAGATAGATGGCTAATTTGTATGTCATTGACACTTTTGGCACTTTTTTGGAGTATTTTCAAAAGTTTTTTTTTTTTTCCTGTAAATGATTCAATAAATACCGTACCGTGACATTCATACCGAGGTATTACCGTACCGTGAAATTCTGATACCGTTACATCCCTAGTAATTATAAGTAGAAGTTCAGTTTTATTGTCATTTAAATTCAAGAAGTTTGTGGTGAATCAGGATTTGATGTCTGCAAAGCAGTTAGTAAGGGATGAAGGTGGGAGTTTGTGGTTGGGTTTGGTTGATAGGTAGAGCTGGGTGTCATCTGCATAGCAATGAAATTGGATTTGGTGTTTGCGGAAAATATAACAATATAAGTGGAAGAAGATAAATGATAAATAGCAGCGGACCCAAAACTGAACCCTGGGGCACACCTGTAGTGACTTAAAGGATCTAATTCGGTTTATATGTATTTTTATATTTTGGGTAAGGCATGAGTCAAAAAAAGTTCATCCAATTAAAAATTGTCGGACCGACAAATAACTCAATTACGACAGGTAACTCAAACTGTCTGTCAACAAACTTAAATGTAAACTTCTGCGCAGCCTCTTTAAGCAGACAGATACGTCACTGGCGCGTACACATGAAGCACGGATCACTAGCTGACAGACACGTCAGGCAAACTCTGCATCATCCTGAACTTCTTGCTGAAAGACCGACGTGGCCTTGTATGCATTAAAAAAAGATTGTTTCTAAAAGGGCTTCTGCCAAATAAGCAGAATCAAAACTTTTCTAAACCCTGAATAAATATCGGAATTACTTTTGCACGCTAAAGGGAAATGACGTTATGCAGTTCAAAACAACAATCTGAAGGATGACACCAAGGCTGAAGTATTACGTTTAGACAGTTGTGTTTTAAAACAATTTCAGCCACACAAAGCTTATGTAGACTGTTTTGTTGTTTATGAATGGGTTCATATGCATAGAAGTGTTGTTCAGCCACTGGCAGAAGATTTGCTATTTTCAAGTTCAATGGAGTACCTTTTACAGCATCAATAATATAGTTGGTAAAATAGACCCGAGCATTCCTTTAGTTCAATTGTAAAAGGATATGAAAACAAGCGATGTACGAGGATCAGCGAGCACAATTGAAAATGAAAAGTCACTCATTGTCTTGATAACGTAAACGTAAGTGTATTGTAAACAGAAGACAGGATATTTCTGTTTTAGCACTGCTTTTTTCTGATCTGATTTTTATTTAGTTTAACAACAAAACATCAGGAAACATGCTCTTCCGCCTAACCAGCTTTACTGAGGTGAAGTTTGATTTATATTTACACACGTGTTTATTTTTGAACAGTGACAGCCTGTGACTCTAGGGAACTCTAGGGTTTTAGGGAAATATAATTCCTGCACCCGCTGGCCTGTCCACAACTATGCTTGATAAAGTGTGTGACTCCATAGAGTTTTCTAACTGGTGATTTGTGGTGAATGACATGACCTAGTGTTTTATCAAATAAGTGCACGTTCGTCTGTTCATGACTTAATGAGGTGTGGCTTTGGACGGCAGGGGAGGGTCGTAAAATTTCTAAGCTATTATGCTAATGCTAGCATTCTTGCAGATCACCTACTGCACCTTTAAGATAACTATGTGTGTTCTGCTAACCTGATTTGATAGGGTAGTCTTTGAGATGGGCTTCACCGTTGCGTAGATCCAGGCTGGACGGTGGATAACCGACCATGATTTTCTGTACATCGCATGGTATCCCTGTCAGCTCCTCGATCTTATCTTTGAGTTCCTGAACACAAGATTGGTGTGTAAGGCCCTGCATCAGATGGGTCCCGTTCTTGGCTTTGCAACGCAGACGCAGCATCCTGTACCTGTTCACTTCTGAACACAAAAAAACAGATTCACGAAGCAAGTTTATTTGATGAACAACATTCAAAACAGAGCAAATACTGAAATGTAGATTATTTTTAAGAGCACCTATTTTACCCCTTTTACAAGATCTAAGATAAGCCTTTGGTGTCTCCAGAATGCGTCTGTAAAGTTTCAGCCGAAAATACCCATCAGATTATGTATTAAAGCCACCAGAATCTGCCCGTTTTAATGTCCGAGTACGGTGTAGATGTTTTTGTAGCCTGTGCCTTAAAATGAAAATGAGCTGCTTCTCCCCGCCCACCGTTCCCACCTGCTTCTCATCATGCATTCCGTCAGATAAACAGCAGTCAGTGACGGACTTGGGCAAAGCTGAAATACAGCTCAAAAATACCACGTTTATTTGATGCATTCGTGGTGTAGTTTATTCAAGCCTTACTGAAATGATGAGTCTCACACAAATGCCGTTTGCAGGACACAAACACATATTAGCGTTTACTGATGCCATGCGTCTGTGGTGATTATAGTACTCCAGAATTACATTGTAAAAAGCCTGTTCTTAACTATGGTCTTCGGTCACAGGATATTTATTTACTCTCTGTCCCTAAAGTGCGGACTGAGATGGGAAAAAAGGCTTTTAAGTACGCAGCACCTTTTGCTTGGAGTAATCTGCAAACACAGTTGCAGTTCAAAGACTTGATTTCACTACATGCTTTTAAAAAGACTATAAAAGATTTAGAAGTTGAAACACGGTTCGTAGATGTTTTAAATAGTTGTCGGTGGGATTCATGTTAACTGTAAATTGTTTTTTGTTTGTTGTCTGTTGGACTCATGTGACTTGTGTACTGCCTAATCTTGGCCAGGACGCTCTTGTAAATAGATTTTTAATCTTAATGTGTCTATCCTGGTAAAATAAAGGTTATAATAATAATAATTCATCAATTACACTGATTTTACTATCTTTATAACAAACATTATATGAACATATATTATAAAACTTATAAAAATCACAGAGATTTGGAACTTTGGAGCTGGAATCTCAGTTTATTTGCATATACATTTATGTGTATATATGCTATTATATAAACATGGTGCCTGTCAATCAATTCGGTGGGCGGGGAAAATAAAATAAAATTGCACTCCTACATCAAGCGGCGATGTGCCTCAAAATCACTTGGATTTGGGTCCTATTTTTTACGTTAGTAAATAAAAATAAAAAAAAGACTTGTGTTTGTATCACTCCAATATGACAGTGGACAAATTACACTTACAAACTCCAACACTTTCTCTCCAAACAGCTTACAAATGTTGATTTTCATCATGGGTGCCCTTTAAATGTGTGTGGCCTTTATCCCAGTGTCAGTCAGACTGTTGAATATTTAGAATATTTTATATATAATATTGTATATTTGCATTCACTACTTCTGTTTTTAAAATGTATGTATTGTCTGTTTTTTTGTCCTGTCTCTGTAATAATGTTGCACAGTCAAGCTCTGTCACGAAACCAAATTTCTCAAATATGTGAACATACCTGGAAATAAAACTCTTTCTGATTCCCAACACAGATCGACCGTGTGCATATGTTTTTTGTTTGTGTATGCAATTCCTAGCATGTTTGTTTTTTTAATTATTTTTATTGTGTCAGAACTTGCTGAAGTGAGTACACAGACGTACACAGAGTACGCAGAAAATGTCCTCTTGATGGACAAAGTATAACTTACAAAATAAACAAAGAAAACATCAGATTTTCAATGACAATTTAAAAAAATATATATTATTTATACAGATTATAAATACATAATATATCAAATACACAAACGAAACAAGAGAGAAATATACTAAGTTGGTAACAAATATATTCCAATATTTTAAATAATACAAATATTTAAGAGTCACTACAGATAATGGATTGTGCTGAGCTATTGAGAAACAACTACTAAACAATAAACTATAGAGTTTAACGCGAAACTAAAACAACATATACATATACAATTAGTCAATTCAATATTTTTAACCTTATTTTCTTCTCCCTTAAGTAAATGTAGATCGAGCTAAGTAATATAATTGCCAATGTTGACAACAAGATAAGCTAGGCTAGCTAATAGCCATGCCACATTACGTTACAAAAGCTCAGCTTACATACAGTTAAGTCGTATTAAAATGAACAGTTTTTCACTAGAATTGTGTACTCTTAAAGATAAACAGAAATATAATCATAAATGTAATAAAAATGGCTAAATCACTCACCGCCGAGCGTCTCTTTAAACAACAACAGACACACTGACCGTGCAAAAGCCTGCGCGGTACGTCACACACACCTTGTGTACTACGTCGAAAACTACGCTTCAAATGTGATCTATTACATATATCTATGATCTATTAATGCGTCAATAGCATTACATTTCAATATCAGCGGAGCCTTGGTATATTTAATAAGAAATTAAATGGAATAGCTGTACTTTTTAATGTAATAAAGCGTTTAAATGAAACTCTAAGGGTAAATGCTGATTGAAACCGGTATAAAGACCATGGTCGAAAGTTTTTGTCATCAAAGGACTTTTTGAGAGCTAAAGTGGGAGTATGCCGATTATCTTTTGATCTTTTGCTACTTTGTTTATTTCTGATCGAGCACCTGCTTTTGAAATTTTTAGATGTGCGCACATTTCTGTTTTTTTTTTTTTTTTTGCTTTGAAACCGGTGTATTATTATTGCACATAACGTCTTAACAACTTTTAATAGTAGTATGCATTATATAAAGTTTAAATAAAGCATTATATAAAATTGTGTGAATCTGCCTTTCTGTAGTGTCTCCCCAAGCCACAGGAGGCATTACATAGAATCAGCGCGCCATTTTATCTGCGTCATTCTGTTTCCGGATTTGCGCCGCCATTGAAACAACAGCAGCCAACGTGAGATTTTCGTTGCCGCGCCAATAACTATTACACTTAATATCACATTTTGTCACTTTTTATAATAACATCCGGATATTATTGAGAAGAATGGCGTACAGAGGACAAGGACAGAAGGTTCAAAAGGTCATGGTGCAGCCCATCGTATCCTTTCAGGCCAAATAGCTGCATTGAGCTCTCGCCATTGTACCGATATGTGTTGGATGTGTGCTGTTATATGTATAATGTAATATACTTTGACATATTATTGTATAATATAATATAGTTTAGCATATTATTGTAGGTAATATAAGTTGTGTTAGCTAACATTTTGAATACTAAATACTTTTAGCAATGTTTGAGCTGATTATAACAGTGTCCCTGCGTTACAAATGAATGAAAAAGGTTATGAATCGTGTTTATATGTCATTTGTTTCCTTAACGAGTCTTTCAGAACCTTATTTTCAGGTATCTACAGAATGTAAGTACTTGTTTTTCAATCTGCGACATACACAAGCTTTTATCTGTCCACATATGTCTATTTTTTCATGTGTTTATTGTATTTTTGTAGAGTAAAATCTTTATTCTGTTATACCTGCTGATTTATAGATGTCTTGATAAATATCAAAAGTGGTAGTTCTCTCAGAAATGAAAATATTGTAAGCATTGAGGTAAAGTTTGTTAAATTATATTCACACATTCTGAATTTCACGTTCAATAAAATACAGGTCATGGAAAACCTGAAAAAGTCATGGAATTTTGACACAGCATTTTGCAGGCCTGGAAAAGTTTTGTAAAAACAGGGAAATCCACAGAATTTTGGAAAAGTCAGAGAAATTAGTTGAAAAAATATCTGTACACTTGATTTAGCGCGATATTGAAAAGATCTGACTTTACAATATTTTGTATTTCTGTGATCTATATTGCGATGTGAAAACTATTTCACCTGGTGATTTAAATAGAGGTAAAGTTGGTTTTATATTCTGATATTCAGACTTTCCCCTTAATAATATAATTACAGAAAAGTATTCTTTGCAAATTGTAAATGGGGAAATCATATGAGCAGCAAATGACTATCAAAGTACATTGTTCACAGTGAATTAGATAGTGTTAATGTTGTTTAGAACTCATACGTGCATGCTAATTCTGAATATTTAAGGTAACATGGTAAACAATAAAGAGACTGCAGTGCTAAATGAATGAATGTGTAAATATAAAACCAACTTTACCTATTTGATTCAACAGGTATATTTGGATTGATTGGGGGAATTTTGTAGAGGAGTGAATCTTGAATAATACATAACAGATCAATTACAAGCATAGATAAATAAAATATAGTAAAGATAAAATATAATTATAGTTTTCAGATAATCAACACTGCAGAGTCTTCACTGTATATTATTTAATCTTTATTAGAGTTACAAAACATTTCTTGTGGCCGGATGTTTTGAAATTTGAAATATTGAAATGTTCACACAGTCACAAGCCTTATAGGGACAGTTTACTTAAAGATTAAAATGTACTCACTATTTACTCACCCAACCGTTTACTCCATTATGATTAAACTCGAAATTAAACTATTATCTAATATATATAATTTAATATAATTTTAGGGTCAAATATCGACACGCCCAAACATTGGGTTAAAAAGTGACATTTAAATTTCATTAGATAAAAGGTTTTGTCCATATTTGACCCAATTTTGGGTTCCGACAATCCAGCATTTTTTTTTTTTTTTTTTTTTTTTTTTTTATACAATGTTTTTTAAAAATTGTTTTGTTTAAACCACTTGGCACAAAATCTAAATGAGCAGTTGGTAATAATTTTCCTGCTTCTTTGCAGCGTTCCCGAATCTCGGTGTGGCTGTACGAACAGGTCAACATGCGGATAGAGGGTTGCATCATCGTGAGTAAAGTCTCCGATTTACCAATAACACTAGAGCTGGGAATCTGGGCTGCTTGATCAATTGAAATGAAAACTCAATCCTACCTTTTCAGGTTAGCTAAATCCTAATTCACAACTGACAAAATGCGCATAAAAATCGCCTTCAATTTATTGCCCAGCCCTACTGGGATTCTTTAATTAAATCAATGCATTGAATCAATAAATCAATATTCAACTGCAATTCATTATAAAGTGATGAGTATTTATTTAATATAGCAGAAGACGATATTATTAGCCCTCCTGTGAAAATGTGAGTTCTTTTTGTTGAACAGAAAACTGGGAAATCTTCTCGATATGTCATGTATGTTTTTTTCCTCTGGAAGATGTACATTTATTTTACTTTGGAAGGAAGTAAAGCAATTTTGACCTTTTAAAAATAATCTCAAAAGTTAATATTATTAGCCCCCTTAAGAAATATTTACATTTTTGATTGGCTTCAGAACAAACCTCTGTTCTCCAATGATTCCCTGATTACGAATGCTTTATAATCATTGCTTATGAATGCTAATTACCCTTAAGCTGAATGCTTGTATCTTTTAAAAATAATATAGCAAAAACAAAAGAAATTAGTAATTAATACTTGTTTAAAAATGTGCTGGAACAATCTCTCTGCTAATCAGCACTTGGGAATTATAATTATTATTTTTATAAATATGCCATCATCGGTGTATAATATTTACTCCTTTTATCAGTACAATATACACTCACAAGCCACTTTATTAGGTACACCTGTCCAACTGCTCGTTAAGGCAAATTTCTAATCTGCCAATCACATGGCAGCAACTCAATGGCTGTTTCTCAATTCCAAGAATGCAGAGATTGGACTTGCGTTCTTGTGGAGACCAGTCTTGCCAGTTTTCCTTGGAAGAACAAACTCGGGAGACCACGAGAACAGGGAACGCATCCAGTGGGAAATGGGATGCTGCGTTCTTCCTGATGGTCACGTGACCTTCACTCGTTTTAATTTAAAATTTAAACATTACAGCATTCATACAATGAGTTATTGTTTTTCCCCTTTTCAAAATATATACTCTGCATAAAAACATTATAAATATACGTTGCACAGTATCAATAAAACAGATTTTAATACAAATTTCAGCAAACAAACACCCTTATTGCCTTTATTCCTTTATTAAGATGTCTATGGTAATGTTTATATTTACCGTTTCATTTAGGGAAACTCCTGAGGTAAATAAGTGATATCTCTGAACTTTAATAATAAATCTAAATAAAATGCGGCGCTTCCCACCTCCAGTCGCAATGACTTCTGGGAATTCTAGCAAGATCGTTGCTCAAGTCTGCATCGCTGCATCCTCAATATCAAGAACGCATTCGGGAAGTTTCACGAGTCCTCTGTTCTTGCAGTCTTGAGTTTTGGAACTGAACTTTGGCAGCTGATGATGACATTACATGACTACAAGGACGCAAGACCACTAAAGATTGCATATTGAGCAACAGCCAATGCATTTAGGCATATAGAAATTATCCAAACGATCTGCTGCTGTTCAAACGGAGCATCAAAATGGGGAAGAAAGGTGATTTAAGTGACTTTGAACGCGGCATGGTTGTTGGTGCAGGACGGGCTGGTCTGAGTATTTCAGAAACTGCTGATCTACTTGGATTGTCATGCATAACCATCTCGAGGGTTTACAGAGAATTGTTTGAAAAGGGAAAATATCCAGTGAGGGGCAGTTCTGTGGGCGCAGATGCCTTGTTGATGTCAGAGGAGAGTGGCCAGACTGGTTCCAGCTGATAGAAAGGCAACCACTCGTTAAAACTGAGGTCTGCAGAAGAGCATCTCTGAATGCACAATACGTCCAACCTTGAGATGAATGGGCTACAGCAGCAGAAGACCACACCAGGTGCCACTCCTGTCAGCTATGAACAGGAAACTGAGGCTACAATTCACACAGGCTCACCAAAATTGGACAATAGAAGATTGAAAAAAGACACCTGGTCTGAGTCTCCATTTCCGGTGACATTCGGATGGTAGGGTCAGAATTTGGCGTCAACAACATTAAAGCATGGATCCATCCTGCTTTCTGTCAATTGTTTAGGCTGCTGGTGGTGGTGTGATGGTGTGGGGATATTTTCTTTCACTCTTCAGCAATTAAGGCAGTTCTGAAGGCAAAAGGCAATCCCAGCACTAGTAAGGTGTGCCTAATAAAGTGGCCGGTGAGTGTAGTTCTTTGTAAGTTTTTAAAATCTATTTTAAAGATAAAGAAGAAAGACACACAGCAGCAGGGTTTTTTAAATATTTAGACCTAATGCACAAACGAATGCAGATATTATGCAATAAGTCGATGCACATCTGACCATTCAAGTGCAATCCAAGGTTCAGTGTATACATGCTCCAGGTGTGTGTATGTATGTGTGAGTAATACCTCATTCACACTAGCAGTGACTTTGAAGCTGCGTGCCGCTCAGGGTGGTGAACTGCTGCAAGTGCAGGTCTGTGT